GGCAGACCAAGAGACAGACAGACAGCAGACAGGCAAACCAAAAGACAGACAGGCAGACCAAGAGACAGGCAGCAGGCAGACCAAGAGACAGACAGGCAGCCCAAGAGACAGACAGGCAGCAGACAGGCAGCCCAAGAGACAGACAGGCAGCCTGTACCCTCCCTCAGCAGGGCCAGTGCTGAGATGTTCCGGCTGTGGTGGACGGTGTCTGGGGCAGTCTGCACCTGGCAGGACCACAGCGCCCCCTGGCTCCACTCCTCCCAGGACAGCTTCAGGGTGCCGACGACCCGGTTCCCGGCCGGCCCGCGGCCCGACTCTCCCAGTACCCTGCGCGGGACCGCGGGCTCCCTGGGCAGACCCGACTCCCGCCAGCTCAGCTGGACCCAGGACTGCCGGAGCCCGGCCGCGGCGCACCGCAGTGCCACGCCCTGCCCGCGGGCACCACCCTTCGCCAGCACCGACACCTGGGCGCCCTCTGCTGGCGCACCTGGGAGGGAGGAGATCAGTCTCACGTGCCGGGCTCATTCCTGCACTTCTCCGGCCCCCTGCCCCCTCCCGTCCAGCGGGAGAGCAGCCCAGGGGGGCTGCTGCTGGCAGAGCTCTGCCCCCGCGTCCACAGACGCCTCCGAGCAACGCCCCCCGAGCGAGAGGCGGGACACGGGCTTGGGGACCGGCTGGTACATCTCGGAAACAACATGAATTCGCTGATGCAACAGAAGAAAAAAAAAAGCCGAATTCCCAATTAGGCACAAACCCATGAATTTGCGCAAGTACTACTCTCACCACGTTGTCGCAAACTTGCGTTCGAGTTCCCACGAACTGCGACGCGATGCGGCCCTTCCTGCTCACTAGTCTCTGTAATGACTAAGGTACTAGCGAGCAGAAAAAGACAGCAGACATTGCACCGCACACATGTTCCCGCGTGATCTGCACCACAAGTTTACAATGAAGTGGTATTTAATGTCGTCTCGAAGGCGAGAGCAGTATTTCTGCTGGGTTAAAAGAGAGGTGTTCGCAAGCCTGCTGGTTTACCGGAAGTCTGCTTGCCTCGGTCTGAAGTGCACAGCAGAGCTCCGCGCATACCTGGACATCTCGCCTGCTTGGTGAGAAACTGGAGGTTTAACAGACCACCACGTACATGTTCCTGTTATTGTGGTTTGAAACGCGCTCGTCAGCGCTGGTTCTTTCTGACCCCGAACCACGAGAGCAGCGTGGCTCTTGCCCTTCAAAGGGCAAGCATGAGAAGCCAGTCTTGCACTGGCTAAAAAAACAGAAGGCGCTTCTACTGTTCTTGTGAGAAAGGCAGATCGCGCCAGGTTCTGTGAGGGCTGTGTCTGTGTGGAGCAGTGGCGGACAGCGGGCAGTAGGGGGCGGTGTTCTGGACCCGGACTCACCGGCTGCTGTCACTATCACCGCCGTGGGGGCGGAGAACCTCAGGTAGCTCCCGCTGTACTCGGCGCAGTAATACAGCCCCGCGTCGCTGCTGGCGTTGACGCGGACGCGCAGGGAGAAGAGCTGCCGGCCGGCGGGCCCTCTGTCGCCACCCCCTCCGCGGCCGCCGGGACCTCCCGGCCCGCGGCCCCTGTCCAGCTCCCTCAGCCCGCCAGCGGGCCCCCCGTCTCGAAACCAGCGGACCTGGTCGGCCGGGACGGCGGCGGGCAGCTCGCAGGTCACCTGCACGTGGTCCCCCGGCCGGGCGAGGACCCGAGAGGCACTGCTGGGGCAGACTGGAAACGACACGCGCACACGGGTCAGCGCTGGGCAGGGCTGGAGTCTAGTCCAGTGCAGTGTAGAGTAGTCTAGTCTAGTCTAGGGTAGAGTAGTCTAGTCTGGTGTAATTTAGTCTTGTCTAATCCAGGGCAGTGTATTCTGGTGTAGTTTAGAGCTGTCTAGTGTAGTTTAGTCTAGTCTAATGTAGAGTAGACTAGTCTAGTGTAGTCTAGTCTAGTGTAGAGTAGTGTAGTGTAGAGTAGACTAGTTTAGTGTAGTCTAGTCTAGTGTAGAGTAGACTAGTCTAGTATAATCATGTGTAGTGTAGTGTAGAGTAGACTAGTCTAGTGTAGAGTAGACTAGTC